GAACCCCCCCAAACCTCCTACCTTCTGCATCATCACCCGTTCTGTCCTCCATGACTCCTACCACTTCGCCCAGATGAAGGCCTCACTCCTCCCCGAGCCCTGGGCCCCATCTACTCCCCTCTGCTCAGAGACATCTCTCCCCTACCAGCCAGCCCCCACATGAAGCCTCTCCATCCCACCAACCTCTACATATGCCCATGTTTCTTCCTTCCCCCCAAAACTGTTCTAAGCCCTAACTTGCCATCAACATTCTGTTATATCTCTCACCTCCCCTTCACTTGATAAAGCACTTCACACTTGGGTCTCTGCTTCCTCACCTCCTACTCCCTACCAGGCCCTGCTGTCTGGCCTTCGCCCCCCTCTTCACACAGAGAGATCCCTCCCCAAGGTCACCCCCATTGCCAAACCCAGTGGCAGCCTCTGACACTCCCTTTCTTGTTTCCTGCAATCTTTCCTCCACCCTCTTGGCTGTTCTGACTTGGCTTGGCCTGGTTTTCCAACAGCAACTTCTCCTTTAAGGCAGCTTTCTCCAAAGTTGGGTCCCAGGGCCAACCTCTTTCCCACTCTCCGTCTCTTCCTTCACCCTCCTATGCAGCTTTAATTGTCACCTCCATCCTGAAGAGCCCCAGATTTCCACCCCGGCCCAGCTGTGCCTCTGCAAGGGCCACAGCAAACGAAGAGCCTTAATGCCAACTAGGAAAAGATACCCCTTCCTCTGGCCTAATTCAGCAGCCTGGCTTGGCCTGGGCGGGGCCCCTCTCCTACAAAGCACAGCCTAATCCAATTCCTGGCAGGGTCCTCCACCTGGCTGTTCCTCTCTACGAATCTCACCCCAACGAGTCCCCCACCCCCAGAACCCAGGTACCTATACCCACTCCCATGTTCCCCACTTTAGCAAATGGCACCCTCACCCACTCGGTTCCTCAAGAAGACTTTGGGCCATCCTTGATTCTTCCCACTCCCCATCACCTAATGTCAAATTAGTCATCAAGTCCTGGTCTCTCCAATCTTTTCTTTTCCCATATATGTATATATAGGTGCACATAGATAAAAAGTTTTTACGAGCCTCAGTTTTCTCATCTGTAAAATGGGGACAATAATAATATCAAATGTGTACTTGTGAGAATTAAATGCCTCAAGGTCGGTAAAGCACCTGTCATCACATCTCGGGTTATAATGGTACACCATGAATGATACTCCCCTGCCTCCTTAACAGAATTAATTCTAAGTAGTGTCCCCTTGCAATTGTTCAGCGTTTTACAATTTTTTAAAGCGTGTGTCCTGTTGTTATCATGGAACGTCAATATGGAGAATGCTTAGCAAATGCAGTCAGACTATCTGGGTTCAAATACCAACTCCACCTACTTACTAGCCATGTAAACTTGGGCAGGATATTTGATTTCTCTGTGCCTCAGTTGCCTCATTCATAAAACAGGATAAGATTAGTTCCTAACTCTGTTAATAGACAGAAAGCACTTTGACGAGGGCCCAGAACATGGTACGTGCTACATAAATAGTTTACTGTCATTATCATCACTGTTCTCTTATTCACAAAATGACCTCACAGAATTGTAAATAAGAAGATAGGCTCAGAGTGGGGCTGTGACTCAGAGGTGGCCTTGGACTCCAGGGTCCTGTCCTGTCCATAGGGATAGCCACCCCCCGACACACCCTACTCACTCTTCAGCCTGGATGGAGTCCACAGGGGCCACGTAGTTGCTGGGAATGTAGCCAGTTTGTCCAGAGCTGAGAGACCGAGCTTCCCACCAGTCACCCTCACTGCAGGCACAGGACACAGGCTGTCAGTGGCAACCCGGCCCCCTGGAGCACCCTGGGGCCAGGCAGGGCCGTGCAAAAGATCAGGTGGAGACTAGCCCTGCCAGCCCCTCACTGTGGACACACACACACCCCAGGGCTTTTGTCTGCTCTGCCCTCAGCCACTGCAGCTGCCCCAGAGACTTCTCCCTACAGAAGCAACATGTCTGGGGACACGTAGGACTCCTGGCATTCTCCTCTGGCTCCTCAGCTGGGCTGGGGTTTGGGTAGGCAGTGGACAGCTAATTCGGTCACTTACCCACTGAAAAATCCTCAACCACCCCCAATGACTGCATATTTCCTTCTGGATAAAATCCAGATTCTTCAACATGGCTTAAAAAGCACTGCAGAATCTGTTTCCACCCACTTCTCTAGCTTCTGCTCTCTCCATTCTACACCTCGTACTTTATAATCCACCTAGACTGAACCACCGGGTGGTTTCCAGAAGTCATCACGGATTCTCATTCTCTCTCACTCTCTCTTCCTCTTTTCTCACCTCTTCCCTCAACATCTATTCATTTTTTCTAGTCTCACCTTAGCAATCACCTCCTCCAGGAAGCCTGCCCTGATCACTACTATCCTGGAGACCGCATATAGTATTCTTTCTGTGCCCCTATGTTCCCATGCTCCCCCTACATAGCAGCAATTACTCAGAGTTGTTATTGTCATGTATCTGTGTCCCCAACTAGGCTGGAGCTTTCTGAGGGACCAGGTAGGATTCTTATCTGGGTCGTGTTCCCAGCCCAGGCCATGTCCTGAGCTGGGGGACCTGGTTACTTACGTGTTATTCAGGATGTGGAACTTCTCACCCTTGGTGAAGGTGAGGTCATCCTCTGTCCGGGCCTCATAGTCATACAGAGCGGTGAACAGGGTCACCCCAGCCCCTGCAGAGTCAGGGCTACTCAGCAGAGTAGGGCATGGGACAGGGGACTCCAAGGTGACTGCACCCCCAGAATCCTGTTCCTCACACAGGCTCTATGCCTCCCCACTGCTGCAGTGACTGGTTCCAAAGGCCTTTGGAGTCCAGTGGATTTCTGATTTGGGCCTCACAGCTTGGCTCCACGTGGATTCAGGACACATGCCCTCAAGCCCATCCCACCCGCCCTGGGGAGTTCCCAAGTCACCCACTCCTCTTCCCCGCCAAGACTTCCCACTTGGGTCCGTCATCAGGGTCCCTCTCTCAGATGGGAACAGAGCTATGTCTACCCTTGAAACTGGGTTTCTGAAGGTAGGCCTGTACACTCTCCCTCTCAGACTGTGCTCTGAAAGCCGGGCCGTGTTTCCCACGTCACACTGGAGGCTCCTAAAGACGTCTCCCTTTCCCCCAGGTTTTCCCAGGATCCAGGCAGTGCCTGCCTCCCACCCACTGGACTCACCTGAGATGCCCCTGATGACGCCCCCATCGAGGAAGGGGGTGCTGGTGGACTGAGTGGGGAAGTTGTTGTAGTTGGGGATATGGACAAAGGAGGACACAGGCCGGGCCTGAGTAGGGTCAGGGCCATAGTGGTCCACAGCCCCACTGCCCCTGAAGTCCCCTTGCAGGCCAACATCCTCCTTGGTCCCCGGCTCCAACTTCTTGCAGAACACACAGCCCATTCCAGGTGCCCTGCTACAGAATGGGGCATGCCTCACTCTGGGGCCCCTGCCGGACGTGCTGCCCTATGCACACACGCGTGCACCCGTGCACATGCACACTCACGCAGGCATGCAGTTTCCCCTCTCCGAGTTTCCCCCTAGTGAGGGGTGAAGGTGGGGCAGGGCTACCTTTGGGTCTATCTCCCCGCTGCTTTGTTCAGAGAGAGAATGTATACCCTCAATGTGCTGCTTTGGGACGCTGCTGGGTTGATTCATATATTTTTGCCTCCTGTTCCATCAACGTGTTGTGGTTTTGTGACACTCTTCAGAGTGCTGGTGCATGTGCGTCTTTTGTGCGTCTCTAAGTATTTGTGACTACACACATTTGTGGGTGTGTGTCTATATGTGTTTGTGCAGCCTCTTATGAGTGTTTGTGTGTCTGTGCGGGTATCAGTGTGGGCGCGTGTCTGTGCATGTGATGGCTCCGGGTGTGTTCATGTCTCATCAGTTGCACACGTATGTACGTGCTTCTGTGCAAGTGTGTGCGTGTGTGTGTGTGTGTATCTCTCCGTGCATGCAGGTGGTCTGTGTGAGTAGGTGCCTCCGTGTCTGTGTGTCATGACCAGGTGTAGAGCCCTGTGCGGGAGCATATATGCCTGTCTGTGTGTGTGTGTGTCCGTGTGTGTGTGTAAGTACGTCTGGATGTCTCTGGGTGTATATGTGTGTCTCCCTCTGCGTATGTGCATGTCTACGTATCGAGGCGTATTTGCGTGTGAGCGTGTGTGAGGGCTCTGTGTGTCTGCACCTGGAGATTCCCTGCGGAGGGGGATCAAGGCCATTTCCTGTTGTGGGTCCAGCCTCTGGCCTCTCAGGCTGCCTCTTTATGGTTCCCCCATCTGTTACCTAGCAACAGGGCCCACGTAGGAGGAGGGGGCTGTGATGGGTTGTGGGGCTCGGGAAGGCCACCCCACCCCTTTTCCTGACCCTGAAAGCCCTCAGTCCCCGCTCTCCCCACTCACCCCTCAGGCCCCCACTCCTGGGTCAGTGGGGCTGCGGCATGGTCCTCGGGAGGGGCCAGAGACCTGAGGGCGAGAGAGAAGGACGTGGAAGACGGAGGCTCGGCCAAGGTTCTTGGAAGCCAGCTGCCCGATTTGCCCTCTTCGGGAAGCCAGGCCTGGGCTCTGTCCCGGCATGACTTCTGCCTTCATTTTCCCTCCTGCCGCCCCTGGCAAGCTGACACATCCACCCTCACGCAGGACACATCACCCACACCAACTCTCTCACACTCACATCCACCTGACACACCGGCTCACCAACACGGACAGTAACACGCCCCGGCACAGAGTCACACACCAACACCCACCGCACACACTTGCATGGGCGTGCCCGCCAACACCAACACACTCACACGAACCAGCTCTCACACGAGCCCAAGCTCTCGCGCGTGGACACACACACGCGCGCGCACACGCACAAAGGCGCACAGGCTGCCTCTCGGGTTGACAGACTCGGAGTCAGATGCTCATATTTTTGCGCTAGACTGGTCCCTCTCATTGGATTTCTACCGAGCGGTGCTCTCTCACTCATAGGCCCCCGGTCCCTGGCCCTTCCTCTGCACGATGCCCCCGCGCCCACCCCGGGCTCCGTAAACCCCCAGCAGCCCCAGGGTTACGTCTGGTGGCAGACTGAAGGGGGACACCTACCTCCAGAGCTGGTTCCTACCCCCACGTCAAAAAAGGCCCAGGTCAGAAGCCAGGGCCACCAGGATCCCTTGGGGAGCCCCTAAACAAGCCAAGGCTTTCCCGGTAGCTATGTCCTCTGAGCAACAGGGCAGGCAGATCATTGAGCAAGGGCTCCCCACGCCCCGCCAGAAACTCTGCCATTGCAACACTTAGAGAGGAACTGCTGGGGAGAGGGCTCGGTTTCCTAAGATGTGAGAGGAATGGACAGTTGTAGGGTGGGGCCAACCCAGTGAACCCTGATTTCTCCCAGAGGGGCCGAGGACCTTCGTGACGGGTGCCCTCGTCTTGCCTTTCTTGACCCCTAAGTCCAGTTCCCTTATGGATAGCCTCCTCCTCTTCTCTCTGGATCCTGCCCCTCCTACTGAGCACACTCACCTCTTCCAGGAAGGCTTCCTGGCTCCACCAGATCCAGCTGCCTAGCCGATGGCTCTGTCACATCAGTGCCCCGACCCCCACTCTAGACCTACCAGCACCTCTCACTCTTCACCGTAACTGTTCTCCTGTGTGTGTAGGGGAGGGACACCCATCTGGTGAACTGCGAAGGCGGGCTGTGGTAAGAGCCCTAAAATAGCCCGTGCTCACTAAGCCATTGCTGCGGATCTTCACCTCGGGACCCCTCCCCTGGGGCGCAACCACTGTGTCTGAACGGCTCCAGGACACTGAAGGCTGCTCAGGGCCGGGGAGAGAATATAGGTAGAGGGTGAGGCCACCCAGGGCCCAGGGAGGGAAAGGATTTCAGGCACTGAGGGGACAGATGGGGACAAGATGAAGACAAAGGTTGCAGGGTGAGAATGGAAGTCTTCTCACAGGAAGACACACACACGTCTCAAATGGCACACGGGGCCTACGCCCAGATTCACACAGCCCTCATGACACATTCTTGGACGCGCACATTACCTCGCCTACACACAGCACCTCACAGAGACTCTGAGCTCTTCTCCACACATACCTCTTCAAGGATACCCACCTCCCCACGTACACACACCTCCGGCCCTCACCCATCTACGCACGCGCACACAGCCATACACACAGCCTCTCCACAAGAACGGCGTACCCAGAGTTTACAGCCCTCACTATGCGCCAGCCACCGCGTTAAACACTTTACATATATCCCCACGTTTTATTCTCATAACACCACCACGAGGCACTGCTAATATCGATAAGGCAACCGACGCACAGAGAGTTTGGGCCCAAGGTCACACAACAGGATGAATCCTGACATTGGGCTCCAGCATCTGAACCACCTCTCTCCGTTGCCTGGTCACAGACACGGATAATTACAGCCAATCGTGCAAGCACGCACAGATGCACGGAGCCCCCAGAGGGACACAGATCTGCAGACCCCTCTCCCCAGTCACAGACCCACACAGAGCGCCTCTCTGTAAGAGACACAAATTCGCACAACCTCTTGGGTCCCCGCATAGATACAAGGTTGCCACTTCCGACAATGCCCAGATAAATATTACCACAACATTTTTATTTTTATTTTGTTTAATTCTTTTTTTTTTTTTAAGGAGGCTCTACACCCAATGGGGGCCTCAAACTTACAGCCCCGGAATCAAGAGTCACATGCTCCACTGACTGAGGCAGCCAGGCGCCCTACCACAACATTTTTATTTTATTTTATTTTATTTTTGAAAACTTAAAAAGATTTTTAATGTTTATTTTTGAGACAGAGAGAGAGAGAGAGAGAGAGAGACAGAGCGTGAGCAGGGTAGGGGCAGAGAGAGAGGGAGACACAGAATCTGAAGCAGGCTCCAGGCTCGGAGCTATCAGCACAGAGCCCGACGTGGGGCTCGAACTCGCGAACATTGAGATCATGACCTGAGCCGAAGTTGGATGCTTCACCGACTGAGCCACCCAGGTACCCCCTACCACAACATTTTTAAATCAGCCTAATGGGAGCCCCAAATTCTGCATGACTGGAATGGGGTGGGAGGGGTGGTTTAGGAACCGTCAGCCTCTAGAAAGAGGCAGAGGGCTGTGTGGGCTGAGGAAGACGTGACAGTGAAGGGTGCAGGCAATGGGGAACAGCTCTCAGGACTTGGAACTCCCCGATGGGGACTGAAGCCCAGGGCCAGGCATGGCTCTCTGGGCACCAGTTTGCCAAGGGGTTTGGGGGAAATGAGGTGAGGGGGCGGGGCAAGGGTTTGGCATCTTCATGGCCCAAGGCATTGAGGGGGCCACACTGGATGTGCCCTCACTCAGGAAGCTTTGTCAGAGGAAAGAAAGAAATGGGGGAAACCAAGAAAGAGAAGGCAGAGACAGAGACTGAGAGATACAGAGAGACAAAGAGAAAGAGAGGCACAGAGAGAAACAGTGCAGTGTGCTGGTACACTGACTCTCAAAAGAAAAAAGAAAAAGGTCCTGATTTGTAGCATTTTCTGATTCCCATGGTATAAATATTCCCACCATGGCTGATTTCGAGTAGCCGAGGTGACTTCCTGAACACTGGGCTGGGATGAGACTCACACAGTCAGCTCCCCAGAGCCAATCCTAGCTGGCTCCAGCAGCCGGCTGACAGCAAGAAAGAAAAAGAAAGAGACAAAGAGAGATAGAAATGAGAAATAGAAAGATAACAGAGAGCCAGAGACAGAAAAAGCGAAAGGTAGGAATGAAGAGAAAGACCGAGAACGAAAGATTCCAAGGCAGAGGGAAAGAGGCAGAGGAAGCAGGTTGGGTCCTCCGTGCTTGGGTATCTGCATACGGACAGCCCCTAGGACTCTCCCGCAGATCCTAACTGGTGCAAAGCCAAGGGTATTTGACTTCCTCGAAGTCTGGCTAATAATGATTATGCTTTAAAATGTCCAATTGATTAAACACTTACTCAGCGCCTGGCATTGTGCCAAGCAATTCCCATGCATGATCTCATTTGGTTACCTGAGGAAGTAGGTTTTATTACTACCCCCATTTTACAGATAAGCAAACTGAGTCACAGAGATGTTTAGTAACTTCCTCAAGATTACACAGTAAGTAAAGGGAGACTAAAATGCAGCCCCAATCAATTTGGCTCTAATTCCACTGTAGGCACCGTTCTATTTTGTAGCCCTGGTAGAAGCAATAATGTGTGTCCCTTAATGAGCACCTACAATGTGCTGGGCCCTGTGCTACACGTTCTAAGTCCTCACTACAGCCCTGAGAGGCGAAGCCCAGGTTCTCTCGGACAGTCGTGATTTTCACAGCCGTAGAATCTGAACCCAGGCTTTTCTCTTCTCAGAGCTGAACTGGCTGCCTGCTAACACCAGAAAGGGAGCCAGCAGCTGAGAGAGGGGCCACAAGCATTCTGGCCACCACAGGAACTCGGGTCGGTTTATGAGTATGCCCCTTAAACAGCTGGTCGACAGGAGTCAGTACCAGAGCTGAGGTCTATTCCTAGACCAAGGTGTTCCTGCCTTCAACACCTCCCTCTGTGTGGCCTTACCCGACTCTGTTCTTTTGTTT